CATCTGCCTACTGCCTCTTGCATGCTTACTAGCAGAGACTACTAATCACTGAAATAATTGCAACATTAAATTAACTATACATTTGAAACATTAAGCATAGAATTAGAAGTTTCGTTAAAAAATTGTCCTGGTTTATGCCCACCAAAATTGAATTGGAACAAAACCAGTTATCTTACCAGGGCATTTTTACATGTATAGAGATCCACTATACTGTCTTGTTAAAAGAAGCTCTATGTTACATTTTTTGTTGGTATTAAATATAATATGGCTTTACAATCTCTCTCTCTCTCTGATGCTTTTTCGTCATTCTTAAGTTGTTTTAACTTTAGTCTCAGAGCTCAATACTCACCAAGGTCTTTGTAAGAGTCCCAATTATATGATGAGCCAAGAAAGTATTGGTTCTCAATATAGATGAACTTCTGGGCAGCTCGAATGACCTTGACATATGCAGAATGTATGCTCATGTCTATCAGTACATTCTTTCCACAAACCAAGTTCTGCTCAATGAAGTAAACATAGTTAGCTCCTTCCGACCACAAAAGTAAATTTTCAGAAGAGAAAGAAGTCAATTCACCCTTCTTGTAGCATCTTTCGGTTCCTTTGGGAATCCTTTCACAGAATTGGAATCAATTGAACGGAAGACCTTCAATTAAAAGAATGAAGTAAATTGTCAAAAGAATTGACATTGCTATTGGAGAAGTTTCTCAACGACTGTTCCTTATGCAATTCATACCTGGACATGCCAAGTCTCCAGGTTATCTTCATTGACGCAAGGAATTTCACCAATATCAACAATATCAATTATTTTATCAATTTTCAGTAATGAATCATCATGTGAACTTTTCATCTTTTGAAGTCTATGCATTTTTAATGCCCTTAACCAACGCTCCTCAAAATTGGTGAGAATGTCATACGCTGCTGGACCATCAATTTGGGAGTGCAAATCATGCCATGGTTGTCTTGGACAACCAGCAACAGGCCCCTGCTTATCATCATACAAATGAAACAATTACAAGAATAGGACAGCACAATTATGAATTTTGAAATTAATTCTGTATGCTCAACCACAAAACTTATATGCCTTCGAAAATCAAAAGTGGTCTTTGGCTTTGTCCATTAAAATTTTAAAATGTGGAGAATGCTAATACAATTAAAAATGGATGATTCCTCACTCAGTGCCCTCCAATATGATCTCACACAATAATATGATAATAAAAAAAGGGTGATTTACCTCAAAGTTAGGATTATGATAGTCATCTTTGTGTGTTGTCTGCAAAGTCCTAAAGATCGAATGGTTTGGTGTATCATATCGGCCCACACATAAATCAATACCTCCGATGAAAGCTATAATTTTTCTTTTATGCTGACCTGCATCAGCATCCACAATGACCGTCTTCTGATGATGTGTATATATTGTTCCAGCTTCCTAACAATTAATTGTAAAGGGAAAACTTTCTTTTAAACACAATCATAATATATTAGTAACTAGTAAGGTTACATGGAGTAAATATATTGCATATGATTTTTAGGATAAAAGATGTATGCAAAAGATATAAATCAGGAAGATAAAGCTAAAGAATATTTCACTTATTCTTTTTATATTTTTAACCTTCAAATATGAATATAATATTTCTAACTTACCTGCTTTTCAACCCAGCTATGTCCTTTCCCACCAGATCGTGGGCAAAGAAGCACTCGTACTGACGAGTTTTTGAAAAACTGGCGAGTGTCCTCATCATGGGTGTTCATAAGTCCAACCTACATGTCATAGTAATTCGACGATAGAAGTAAGCAACTGGCTACAGGACTTGGAGAAGTCATAAGATTCTGAAAATCAGAACAAAATAAGGAATAATATGATGAAATATAGAAAAATTAAACTTCGTATCATGCACGTCAGAGGTCAGTAGTGACTACTGACGTTGGAATAATTAAAATGAGACCAAAAGTCATGGCCTCAAGGGCTTGAATTTAAAAGAAATATTGGTTTGTTTAGCTTAAACAATAAGATGAACAACAACGGCTTTAAAAGAATAAGAAATTAATTGAAACCAAACGCAAAATACAAAGATAAAAACCAAAACTGAACAGAATATCATGTTCATGTTTCATGTAATGTAACAGAAAATGAGAATAAAAAATAGAGGAAAAGGCGAAATTAAAAAAATAAAGAATGTAGCAAATAGAATTTATTGACTAGGAATGCTGCCGCAGCATTTCTATATTTTCTGAACAAGAAATGAATCTCTAACTAAAAAAATTCCACGGTGTGATATACAGAAATAAATCATTCAAAACCAGCAAGGATTGGCACAAAAATGGAAAGATTATTTGAATTTCATTACCGTTTTATATCCAAGCATGCTTCTAGAAGTAGGATCATCCCACACAAGGAGTAGCACTGTCACACCTTCCTGAGACTTGGTTTTGAGAAGGTCACCTAAAGTGTAAGCTTTTCCATCACCCCTATCCCGAATGAGACCAACATTGTAGTACACAGACCACCCCACAATATAAACCACTTTACGTGCATGACTTATTGCATCAAAGATGTCATGCCAACAACCTGCATGCTTATAACCCACATCTCCATCCACCTCAAATTGGGAAGACAACCTTCTGAAACATGAGCATCTTGATAAAGTGTAACTTTGCAACCTTTCCTAAGGGGAAAGTATGTAGAAGGAACCCTTGATAATTAGGACCAACCCCAACTCCATGACTATAAAGGGCTATTTTATCAAGAGGGGTGTACTGAATGGATAAGCTTAAGACTGTTCCATCCTTACTGGGTTTTCCACTAGCATTAAGGATGGGGAAAAAGCCCTCAACTTTTGCACCGGTGCATAACTGTTCCACTGGAATTCCTACTGCTCCAATGACCTGTGAGCCCACAATATCACTGTCCTTAACGACGAAGTGCACTTCAGCAGTAAGATGTGCAACGGGGACATTGAAATGCTGCATCCAAACTGGGCTCTCATTGTTTCTGATGACAAAAGTCCTGGCAATCACAGCACCTGCCACAGATACTGTGACATATGGATCAGTAGTTACATTATGGGACATGTGGTTTTGGATTTTGCCACCAAGTTTTCGAGATAACAAGGAAACCATTTCTCCCGTTTTCTTGTGAAACCCGTCCATGTTAGGAAGGTTTCTAGCCTCGTGGACCCATATTTCCAAGTTTCCATGCAAGAGCATGATCCTTAAGGAGGTCGAAGTGGTTGGAAATGGAACAACTTGTTGAGGCTGTCCATGGTGTGAGCCTCCAAAAGACGAGCTTTCACCATAAACCATATGATCCATGTGATGTAGGAACTAACAACTCTCTCCCCCTCTCGTTTTGGAACGCCCACCACAACACTAAAGACGTAGTGAAAGAACAATGGGTTTGGGTTGTTTTTGGTGTGGATCTAACCAATGGAATGTGGATGTTCAGCTCTTGATGCAGAAAGAGGGAGAAGACTGGAATTTGAAAATGGGGTTGACGGGGATATTATTAAATACAAGAGTTTGAAACGGTAAAGAATAGGCCAATGAATTGGAAGAACAAGCATGATCGCGACGTTAAGAGTACAGCAAGTGGAAGAGAAACACATTCCATCACATTTTTAGTCGTAAAAATTATATTACTTTACATTAAAAATTTTATAAAAATACATTAATAATATTTTTAGATAAAAAAATTTCACTTTTAATTTTATAAAGACATTATTTAATTTTTTCCTTACATTTTTTATTCACTAAACTTCTAAATTAATCATCCAGAAATTCTAAGCTCAGTGTATTTTAGTAGTTTAGATTTTAAAACCTTTTTATTAATTCTTAACTGTATAAATTGATATTAATTTTTTAGAAAAATACAACATTTCAAATATGATAAAAAATGGGAAAATAAGTGACCTTGTACGAAGTCAAAAGTTAATAAAAAAATTTAAAATCTCAGTAAATAAAGTGCATGAAACAATTTTAATAATTAATTTAAAATTTTACTCATCTTTTATTGTGATTAAAAATTATAAATATGATATTACCAAAAAAATTTATAAATATGATGTAAAGTCTACTTTTAATAACATTATTTTTATTTTTATTTTTACATTTTTTAATAAATTTTAATTAATAATTAATAGTCCGTATTGTGTTACAAGATTTTATTTTTTTTTCGGGTCAAATGTTACAAATATATTTTAAAGATAGTATTTTTAACACTCCTGGCAGAAGAATAGTAATGGTCAATAACAGAGGCTGATGCCCACCAAATGTTTTCCTCTCTGTTTTTGCAGGTCAACGCCCAATTTTTCCTGGGAGAAGTAAAAAATGAAACCAAAGTGGATCCTTGTTGGATAACGTACGATCACTATAGATTTCACTGAGGCCCAATAGGCCCAAAAATTTTGTGAACAGGTAAGTTGTACGAACTGAACACTACATTGACCCCAAAAAAAAACTGAAATTATGATGCACGACAAAAACAAAGACGAACTGAACAGTATGATATAAATACCATTCGATGATATATTCTCACTTAATCAAAGAAACTTGATTATTAATAATTTCTAACGATACAAATCCTACACGTTTTTATGTAAAATAAAAATAAAATATATCCGGCGTTTTCATTAACAGATGTGCATTAGAAGACTGAAAAAAAAATCTACACTAATTTATAGGACATTTGATTCAGTTTTTTTATGGAAAAAAATATTTTTTATCAATTTTTTAAAAAATATTAGTATAATTGTTTTTAAGCTTTTGAAAAAAATTACAATATACTTTTAATATCTTAAGTAGCTTTCTAAAAAAAACCAACATTATATTAGAAATAGAGGCATATTCAAATTTGTTAAGACTTAAACAGATCTTTAAATTTGTCTTTTTGACTTATTTCTCTAGGCATAGAGGCATATTCAAATCATAATACCATATTAACAATTGTTGTAAGATCAACAAATTGAATAGGATTTTTCATCACCTAGGCGAAGCGCGATACTTATGTGAAGAGAGAAATTTTGTATTCTCCTTTTTGATATATAATAACTAATGTGATATTAGAGGTCAAAGAAAGTATATATGAAGGTCAGCTAACCTTTCAAGCATCTGTATACATCGTAATAGTAATAATTCTTTCGCCGGTCAGAAAAACAGCAAACAATTTACAAATACAGTTAAAAGAAAGGGAGCAACCACACCTAACAGAAAAGTTTGCATACGTCAAATTCCACAAATTTACAACCAGCTTTTTTTGTTTTTTTTCTTTCCAGCTATCTTACATTACAATAAACCATCTACTATCTTCTGCATCTGAGTCGAATCTTAGTGGGGCTAAATTCTATCAGCAATAAGCACAAAGTAAGTCCATATATATATTGTTGTGTTGCTAGCTGCTCCATATAGTTAGGGACAAAATATGTCTCTACCTTTTGCGCTTGGACTTCAAAGAGGTAACCGATTGAGAGTTGCTGTGCCAGTTGCGTTTCCTTTGGTTGATGAACCAGTTATTAATTTGCTTCAGCTGCAACCCTGTCTCCTCCACAAGTTTTGCCTTGTCATCTTCCTGAAAACAAAGCATAACAAAGCGACAACTTCATTGGGTCAGAGGCTATTACATCATCAGATGATCACGTGATAAAATCAAAAACATTTTGATTGGGTTTACACCAAATCAACACTATTTAGCAACATCCCAATTGCCAATGATTTATTATTATATCACAATTTACTGAATCTTAGTAGCAATTTACCATGAATTCCGGTTAACAAGGAACGTCATTGTGGCAACATGCATAGGTTGATGGTTACAGAAATAATGAACCCTAATGTCTAGTTTTGATTTCAAAGAAACACAAAATATGTAATGGAAAAATGTTGATTAAAAAGTAAGGTGCTGAAATATATGAAGCTAGTTACTCACAGTTGGGTAAGGCCACTTGGCATGTTGCTGCCACCAGTTCTTTAACACCGAAGTGGTATCACCTGGTAATTTCCCAGCTCTTCGTTTCCTTAATATTTCTTCCCTGACATCTTCAATTCTTGACTTAAAACCCTGCAGAAACTAAACCTGGTTGGTGATTCAAACTTGAGGAAAGCAATCAACGGCATGCAGCTGCAAACACAGCTAGCATGCATGCATATATTGGCTATAAGAATGACCTGTTTCAGCTCAATCTTTAGTTCCTGACGAACTCTTTCCATCAGTGACCTTTCAGATTCTGTAGGAAGTAACGGACCAAATCCCATCATGTCATGCCCTTCAGCACTAGATTGATCTAAAGAAAAATCCATCGGCATATCATCTTCATCATCCGACATTGTTGCCCCAGTTCCTTCTCCCAAACTGACTCCTGAAATATATAAATGGAAACCATATAGCTTAAATGTGTGAACCTTTAAAGGGTAAAAGAAAAGTGAGATTTTATGCTAAATAACATTAGCTGAGAGCATCTACTCGTATTGTTAGTCCATTAAGCGGTCAAATGTTAAGGATGAAATTTAGGGGTCTCAACACTTTGTCTCAGTTAAAGGTTAAGATGCAAGAGAACTATGGTAGGCATCACATAATTATTTGAACGAATTCTCTATAAGAAAACGGCTAACCAAAGATGATTTTGAAGAGTAATGGTTCATTGCTCCACTGTCATGGTATGGCATTACAACAGAAGTTCAAGAAATGGTTGAGCCTATATTTATGGCCAAAGATCAAGTTGTATAATATATTAAATACTACAGAAACTCAAGTCTGTCACTGTGAAGTGTGAAGTATATACATATCACATGTGAATAATTAAGTTGTAGATACATGGACATAGCATGAAGAATTTTGTATTGCATCTGGCACATGACTTAGGGAAAGCTAATTAAGTAAACCGAGAAGGGTAGAAAACATAGTCTGGTTGCATGATTTATGAAAATTCAGACTAGTTACAAGAGTCCTTTCTCCAAAACTTTTTCTTAAACAGGTGAGAGGGAGGGTTTGGTTTATGCTGTTTATATGTGGCCTCTTAGCCTAATCTTATTTAGAGCTCTGACTTTGCAATTTTTTTATAATTAAGGGAGAATAAGAAGAGGGGAAAAAGTGTAGAAATAAATAATTTAATAAGAAGAGATTAAGATATAAAGTGTTACAAAAAATATTGAAAAAAACAACAATTCTTGGTGTGTATCTTATGTAAAATTACTAGAGAAATGTTTTCAGTCGCAATTAATACATTAAATCAGAGGCTGACCACTTTGTCATTTATAAGTGGAAGTCATAGGTAGGGAGCAAGCTAGACGCAAAGGTCCCCCTTTTGTAAGTGGAACCGTGATGGGGTCTCAAAAATATGCCAAAATGTTTGACACATCTTAATCATTCATAAAGGAAAGCATTCAATTCATCAGAAAAGAAAAATCAAATTAAAGGAAGGCTTTAAAGTTGGTTGCCGATAACATCAATGATGGACTGATCATCTATATTTCACAAACCATTTTTTTTATGCATATTTCAAAATACAAGTTAAAAAATTTAAAAATAATAAACTTTTAATATTAAAAATTATATTATTTAATAATATTAACACATAACATTTCATTATATTAAAAAATATTATATATAAATTTTTATTATGGAATCTTAAAATATTAAGAAAACCGATTTACAACTGCCATTGACCAAGCCAAAGAAGAGTAAAATAATTATTTTCTCGTAAATTGTGTAATTTCAAAACGTCCAAAAGGGATAGTTGAATATCGTCTTCATGATCCCACTTAAATAAACATATGAGTGGTCATATCATCAATAATTACGATATGCATACACAGGTTGATACTAAAAGGTTAAACAGAAGTAACCATAAATAATTCACGATATGTTGCATCCTGGTTAAATTAGAAAATAGAATTTGCATGGTGAAAAATAGAGGATTTAGAAAAATTTTAAGTTTGAAGTAATTAGTCATGCGGCTTCTAATGCTTACATATCAATTTTATCTGATACTAACGTTTATTTAATTAATAAATAGTTTTACGTCGATAAATCAAGCCTTTTATGAACTCAAAAAAAAAAAAAAAAACCCAGCTTTTATGGAGTGAAGGAACTTAACCACTTAGCCATTTAAATTTTGATGCATCAATAAATAGTTTTACGTAGATAAATCAAGCTTTCGTTATTTAATACATCCCAAAACTACAAGATGAATAAATGGACTAATTATAAATTCTATTTTTTAATTAATTCTGTCATTTATTAAATTAAAAATATTTTACCTTTTTTATGTTTTAAGTCATTGAATGTATTTATTTTTTTATGATTTTGCTAACTGTTGAACTAAAATATTTATTCCTAAATTAATAAAAATAATTATTATTTATGCCTTAGTAACATTAAATATTTTATAATTATCTTAGAAATAATGATTAATAAAACTATTTTATAAATTATAATAAAAGGATTAATAAGAAAACATTACATATATATTTAGCACAACTGAATTAACTAGATACTCACTTCAAATCTTTCACAAATAATAAATAATGGCTTCTAATAGTAAGCGGGAAAGAAATAGAAAGACTCTAAATATTAAAATACTTTCAATTATATGTCTAAAGAGTAAATTTCCCCCCTCGTTAGTTATTTAATTTTGTCTCTCACACTTTTTTTAAAAATTTATTTATCGCTAATTAAAATGTTTATAAATTAAATTTTCAATCAATATTTGATACTTGATTTTTTTACTTTTTATATTTTTTTATTTGAAAAGAGTAAATTTTTTAACAAGTCTCTCACACATATTATAATAAGAAAAATTTGGGTAAACTAGTTCTATAAGTCAATCTCAATTAAGAAGGGGAAACAAAATTCTATGTTGAAATTAAGAAATGTAAATGCACACTAAAATATGTTTTGGATTACCTTGATTAACAAACATATCCCTAAGTGGAACGCTCCTCATGAGAGTCAACCTTTTTTGACTCTTTTGGATGTAGTTAGGGTGTTGTTTATGCATTATAGTGCTCCAACCAGGTCAGAACACAGCTGCACTGCCAGTCAGCTTCATGCACCTAAGGCAGTGCTTCACACAGTGACAACCTTGTCCATGGGGAAACATGTCCAATAATAGGGTTATTAAGATAACTTCTAAATGAATTTTAATACCCCCATCAAAAAATGTTTGTGTATATCGGGCAGGGAAAGGGTTTGAAATATTCAAATCAATTTTATGTTTTTCATTGGATTTGTTTTATTTTTTTATTTTTCTTTCTTTTCTGTTCCTCTTTTTATTTCATTAAAAGGTGAGACAAACTTACTATACTAGAATTAACTTCAATTTTTTACACTTTATGCTTATTTTAAACTTCTTTCTGTCTTCTTCTTCTTCTTCTTTTTTTAATTATTTTTGTTGTTTTTCCATCTCGTTCTGTGCTTGCTAATAGTGTATGTATTTCACTATTTCTTGGAGTGTGAAATGTTGTGTTAGAATCCCTAGCAGTAAAATCGTACGCGTCCACAAATCAGAACAGAAAGCTGATGCGGAGATTGACAAGAAGCCTAACATTTTGGTCTTATTTTCAGTACTTCCATTGCAGGGAAAGCAAAAGAGGACACAGTCAATCACCTGTTTCAAATGTCTCACATTACTCGTTCTAATCATTGTCATCTCGTAGTCTGTCTGATTTTCTTCCTTGTGCTCCGGTTTTATTTAATTTAATTAAATACTAAATGCAAATATACACCTACTGTTTTTTTAAAAAATATCATGCAAGAAAAAATTCTGAAATTGCATAATATATAGGGATAAATATAAGACTGATCCTTTTTGAAACAAAATTATATATTCGGCTACGGCACTAGAAGTTGTTGGCAGTGCCATGGTGGGAGGGTCTATCGTTAACACCAAACAATCTAACTTCTCCAATTTCCATTTGTGTATACTCCACCAGATGACAATAGTAGACCCTACCACCCAATTTCTTAGTCTAAATCGACCAGAATAAAATATTAAAAAATCAAATATGGATACTATATGTGTAGTTTCCTTCCTTTCTGCTGTAAAAAAATGCATATGTTCATAAGGCTATAAGGGATGATTATAAATGTAAGAATTAATTTTATGTCCCCCCAAATAACTGCCTTCCTTTGCATACCTAAAAATCTATAATTCGTTTTTTAATAGCACAAATGATATTTTAAGCAAGCAATAAGTTGTTGATCTAAAAAACAAAGGAGAAAAAATTCTTTTTTTTAAAAAAGGTTAGTTAAGAAACTTAGGTGTAAAGGGCGTGTACCTGTGAGAGCTTGTAAGGTATTTTCGATATCACGGCATGCCATGACAGCCTCGACGGCATGGACTCTGACATGTTGTTGTAGCTGTTCTTTGAAAGTACACAAAACTATCAAATATTGTGCCTGCAGTAACAACATAAATAAAACCCCATCATCGAATTTCAGTTTTTTTTGGGCACAAATTAATCAGTAACTGGGAAACAAAGGAAAAAGTATGAACTAGCTTGCTTCAGCTTAAATGGAATAATAATAATAATAAATAAAGGAGAATAATTAATTTTTCTATATTGGAATGAGAATAAGTACCAGAAAGTTGTCAAGTTCTTGGCGATGATGAGGGGAAAGAGAATGGGCTTGGGTGTGGTGTGAGACATAAGAGCGAAGAATATGGTGAGACTGAGATAACTGAGCGTCGATGAGTGGTAACTGATCGATGGGAGTGGCAACACGGAGGCATGCCACGTGTGCAGCCAGAAGCTGCTCATAGAGCGGATGACTGGCTATCTCCGCCTTCAGTTGGCGGTGGTGATCGCCGGATACCTCTCCGCTTAAACCACCCATCATTCCCAAGTTTGGTTCTTGCATTTCCTTTGAGCTAAAGATAGTGTTAAAGGCAAAGCAGTGAACTCGGAATAATATAGGGGAAGGAAGGAGGAAGAAGGAAGAGGTTGAGGACCACTCTATAGGGTGCTGTGTTGATGAGGGTTACGAGAGAGAGAGAGAGAGAGAGAGAGAGAGAGAGAGAGAGAGAGCTGTATCGTTTTCGGTGTATATGGGGATCTGAGACGCAACTTTCTGCACCTTTGTCTGATGAAAACAAAGATTTTACATACACACAGAAAGAGGGAGAAGCGATGGCATTAAAAACGATTCATTTCAATTTGTGTGCTGCTGCTACTGCGTGTGTGGGAGAGGGAGAGGGAGAGGGAGAGGGAGAGAGAACTGTGAGATGAGAAGGGGTTTTGTTTAGTGAGAGAAGAAAAGAGAGTGAGGTGTGGAATGATTACTACGAAAGGGGATGGAAGCGAGGTCAGAAAAAAGAAGATAAAGCTGCTTCTGTGACCTGACATTTTCATTTCTTTTATTTTCTCTCTCTCTATTCGATTTTTGGGCTAAGGTTAGGTACCTTGATTTGATTGGCGATCCTAGTTTTGGGTTTATCACCCATCAGCACACAACTATTTTTTTTATTTCCACTCATCTTTATATTTTATGCAACTTTTTTCATCAACATTCTCACGTTCTATTCAAAAATATTTACAAATTTCAGTAATCAAATTGTTTTAAATATTTATACTCAAATTTGATAATTAAATTCTTAACTTTTATTTAAAATAAAAATCAATTTTTTTACTTTTATGGTTCTAAAAATTGTTTTATATCTTTAATTCATAATAAAGTCAATATTAATATAAAAATAAAATTAATAATTTTAAATAAAATTTGAACATATAAATTGAATTTGATTCATATTGACAAATAATAATAATAAACTATAAAATACCTAAAAGATCAAAACTTTTATATAGTTCAAGGTTACAATTATAAGACGGTGCCTAAATCTTTAAAATAAATGCGAGTAACAACAAAGATGTTATTTGCATTCAGTCCATAACTTTGAGTAAAATTTATAGGTATGCATTTATAAAAATAAATAAATAAATTTAACAGTATCTTAAATATTTCATAATATTTTTCACTGAGATCCTCCCACTTTGGTGTATATTAAATTGTTAATTGTGCAAATATATGACCGTCTAGGCAGTTATCAATCCCCTCCTTGTCTGTTTTAACTTAAACTGTAAAATTTTTAAAATAACATTTACTCGCCTAAAAACTTTACACCATTGTTATACTTAACCTATTTTAGAAAATACAATATCAAAATATGAAAATAAACATTTATTTTAAGAGTAAATGATGATTAATTTTTTAATAAATTTATAAATATTAAAATTTATTAATTCAACCATTAATTTAATATTTTTTATTTATAAAATTTAATAATTATTTAATATTTTATCACTTAACTTAGTTTTAATGTATAATATATTTTTTAAAATTATCAAGCAAAATAAATTAACAATACTTATTTCTAAAATAATCAAATCACTTCCCTTAAAATGTATATCCTATATTCTGGATTACAATTCTCTTATAATTTAAAAAAAAACTTTAAAATTAATGTTAGAGAATATTATTCTCTTAAGAGTATTTTTTTTTTTTAGTTTACTCTTCCTAAAAGATGGTACGCAACATTTTTTTTAACTATTAATTAATTTTAAGTCATTTCTACTAATAATTCTGAAATAACGGATCAAAAAATTTAATTCTGAAATATTGTTAACATATATATTCAATATTCTGTATGAATTAATTGCGCATACTACTTTTATATTTTTGAATATTTTATTTTTACTGGTTTAAATTTAAAAAACATCTCTACAATGCATAAAACATTGCTAATTAATATTATAAATAAAAGGTACAGCATTTAACTTCGCTATCAATATTTGTTGTTTTTCTCAACAAATATATTCAATTGCTTATTTGTGAGTGGAACCAAAGGCATGCAAAAGAGAAAAAGACTATATTGAAGTTGGCTTCTGATTTAAAAAAATATCTCAAAGGCGTCTGTGCAAATATATTTATAAATTGTACTAAAATATTAGGTAACATTTTTAAAACTAGTAAAGATTATAACTAATAAAGTGACCAATATAAGTAAAATAGACTATTTGAAGAAGGCACTTAAAGTTGTGTTTGAACTCTGATCTTCTACATACGGAAACAACACATTTTCGACCACATTCAATTATTGTAATTAATTAAACTTGGGTAAGCTTGGAAGAATGATTATTTCTTAATATATTTTAAAATCATGAAATGAACTGTGAAGATGAATTAATATAGGGACGCAAAATAGGTTTAGTATGAATCACAACAATGGGTGATATATGAATTCAACTAATTAGTGAGAGAAGGACAAACTTGATGACCACTGAATTCAACAATCGTTGGTTGTACCAAAAAGAAAATCAAACACTTGTAACTATAATTTAATGTTTTAAATTAATAAACCATATTTAAAATATACGCAACTAGAAAATATGCTTCTAATTCTAACGGGTAGGTTGAACAAAAATATAGAAAGAAAAAAAGGCTCAACTAATAAAAAGAGAAATACATATCCTTTTGTCACCAACCTTCATTTAAGTTTAATTTTGGTAGTTGTTCATAAAGTCGGCTGAAGGTTGAGCTGTCAGTGTTTCGTTCTCTCTGTTGGTGGTGCTACGCTTTTCATCTTCCAAGTTCTTTAATTACTTGCTATGAAAATATATATTTTTTCCTATAATTTTTTAAGAGTATGTTTGGAAGGAGGATTTGAAAAAAAATATATTTTATATTAAAATAATTATATATTATTTATGATAATAAATGCATAATTAATATATTAAACTTTTTTAAAAAATTATAATATTTAATATAATACTCTATTCACGTTAATATAAAACAAATCTCTTAACTTAATTAAGAAATGCATATATTTTTTTTTCATGCAAATATGTCTTACGGTGATTTATTATTATTTTTTCAGTTATTCTTTTATATCTTAGACGATATTAGCGTTTTTGTAAAAAGTTGAAATCACAAAATTTATGACTTTTGCTGTATTAGAATAAGATTAATATATATATATATATATATATATAAAATGTAAAATTTATCTTTTCTTTATATATGTTTTTTGTTTTGTTTCTTTTTTGGTGATGAAATCAGAAAAAGAAAACATGTTTTTCATGAGAGTCATCTATTTATTAAATTAAAAAAATATTACTCACCACCAACTTTTAAATAAATATTACATCATATTATAAATAATCGAGTTAACCTATAATTAGTGAGCTAAATTCAATTGTCAATTCCACCTAATAAAGATATATCATCTTTGATGGGATACTTGTTGATCTGTCTATCTTCCTTTGCACATCACTCTGAGTTTAAAAATGATTATAAACATTTGGTAATTGGTATCTTATACAATCAACATAAGTTAATGGATATTTTGATTTAAAAAAAAAAACTAATTAAAGTCATCCAACAAACTTGCATGGGATTTCTTTTGTTGCAACAAATTTGGGTACCATTAAATAGGAACTTGGGTTATAGCATGGCAAGAGATATAGGTGGAGGCGGCTATATGTGTGGTGGGGACACAACACTGGTGGTTGAATCAAGAAAAAGAAAAGTTATAAAATACATAAAGCAATATTGGGGGGGGGGGGGGGAATCATATAAAAATCTGAAATGAATATTCTCTCTACTTTGTTCTTATTACTTTTGTTTGGAGTACGTGTTGCGTTGAAAACAAGGAAGCATTTTATCCATAACATTCGAATAAAAAAGCTTTCAAGCAACACCTCATATCTAGCAAACCTGTCCAATTATGTCTTCGCCTTCATTTCTTTTCACCAAAGAAACAGAGAGATCAAATATGCACAAACAAGTAAGAGAGAGAGAGAGAGCACCTATTTTTATTTTGTTTTTGTAGATCTATAAAAATGCATGCCTTTAGTACACTTTTTTTTTAATTTTTTTTTTATAATATCGTGTCATTTTGAATAATCCAATTAATTTTTTACTCTAATTAAATTAAAAATTCTTAAAAAAATAGAGCTTGTACATGTATCGCCATGTTTCTGTCTCTCTGAAGATACGTATGAATAAAATAAGAAATGTTTTCACGCGTGCTATTTCAATAGCAAGTGGGATAGAGATGACTTACACCCACAAAAATGTTAGCGAAGCAGTCCAAATATGAATGAGACAAGTACGCCACTCATTGATTTTGTGAATCAGCTTCAAACTTACACCGTTACTCTGCCGTTGAAATTCTGAATAGAATTATAAAGAGCCACAGTAACACACTCTCAGTGATCAAATTTAAGAACACCACAAGAAATTAACCAGATACGTTGCGGGTCCTGACCCAGTTCTTGAGGGAGGTCCAGAGCTATATCCCACGTGATGTGTCATCTTTTCCCTCCATTTTACACCTCTCTCATGTCTATCAAAATTGAACTGTGAAAATAGAAAATTAAATTTAAAACATACTCGCTATTTATATATGTAATGCTCTTTTGAATGAAATAAAAATTATTTTGATAAAATTTAGAATTTAAAAGGTATTATTAGTATTCGACTATTAACGAACGAATACCCTTTGTACAAACAAAATAGAGAGTGATAATAATTAATAGATTTACAAATCGATGATCGTTTGAGTGAATAATAACAGTTATGAGATGATCATTCATCATTGATGAATGAGTATGTACCATCAACGTGTACTCTTTTGATAAGAGCTTGTTTCAGTTTGAGAAAAGACATATGCTTTTGCATTTCTAAATAAGTTAGTTTTATAAGAATGGATTTGTTTTTATTAAAACATATAAAATCTTGTACGGGAACTTGTATGAAACAATTTTTTCTCCTGTTCTCATACATAAATAGCTTTAAGGTTTGAAATAATTAACTATTAATTTGTTACCCAACAGTCTTTAGTATTAAATGATTGAAAACTCGATCCTCATTCTTCAATTAAATGATATCTAAGCATGTCAAACAAAAAAGGAAATATTTACAAATGATTAAATTAAATGAAAAAAGAGTGGAATTGGGAATGAATGACCCGACCCGATCCGGATAGAGCGGATAAAGGAAGAAAGGGAAAAGAGAGGGAAGAACGTAGTCTCCAAGGAAACAGCTGGACCTACGTCACCATCACAGCTGTAGTGCTGTCATCTTCTATAATTATTCATTTCTAATGCTCACAACGTTAATAGCAGGATAAATAAAAGTGGTCCCCCATTTAAATCTCACCTCAATTAAACACACAAATAATGTACCAATTCAAAAATAAATACAACAAATGAAACTAAAATCCAAATCAGGGATCGATTGATCATATTCATCCATCACTTTCACCTCACCCTGACCCTGACCACAATAAAGTACAAACAACCCTTCCCTTCCCCCCTATCATTGTTTTTTCGTTTCTCAATTCACATTAGCTGAATTACACTTTTTATTATATTTTAATTACGAGCGTAGGTTATCTATATGGATATAACACGGCAAGCGCGCGCGTAATTTAATTCACCTTTTTCTTTTAATCTATCGAGGTATTTGAGATTGATTTTTGTTTAGATATTAAAGTTGTTTCTTCCAGTGAATACTTTTACCAGTATTCGAACTATAGTTTATTTACTTTAAATATAATAATAACGATTTTTGTACATATCCTTAATATGTACTATCTTAATTTTTATTTATTTTTTTAGAAAAAATTACACAGATAAATGAATGTCATTATTTTGTTAGTTAATTAATATTTTTTAATTTATTTTTATTAAGAGATTTTTTTTTTAGACCACTCAATTAGTATAATATTTAATTTATTGTATTTAAAACTTTTATGAGATGAAAAAAATACTTATAATAAATATTATCTTCAGTTTCCATATGAATAAATAAATGAGAATAAATTTTTTAGACAAATAAATAGCAACAAAGGCAATATAAAATTTGTTATCATAATTTTCTAATTATTGAAATTAAGTTCCTTACTTTAAAATTTTATTCAATAATAGCATATATATAGTTAAAAATAAATTGTAAAAAAGTAAAATAAAATCCATTTTTATTTAATAATTTATATTTTTACTAATTGTTAGACAATTTTAAGGTAAAGGTTTTTTTTTTTCTGTATTTGTCTACCGAAAGTTTTTTTTTTCTGTATTTGTCTACCGAAAGTATCTCCTAACTGATAACGGAAGATTAATCCCTTCAAAATATGAGATTACCTAAGTGAGTTTAATTTAAACAATTAAAAGATTACGAAAACTACAAAACAAATAAAATTAAAAAGAAATATTACATATAGGTCAACCACAAAAACTTAAAATAAAATTAAGTCATTTCTTTATTTTTATTTTCCAATTTTCTCTATTGAAACAATGGAGATTTCTTTTTCATTATTTTCTCTTTTCATTTTTCTTTAATATTCTCTCCACATCCGAACATAACCTGAGGCAATTATCACGTACAAAACTGAGCCATCAAATCTGTATGGAATTCGAACATGATGTAACGATATTGTGACAAACAGGCTTGGACAACCCCCACAAACATCAACGACCAAAGTAACTCCATGCAAACATGTGAATCAGTAAATACGACTGTAACATAGTACAGTAGTTGTTGAACGTATATACAACTCCTGCTAGGCCAAGAGGAAAAAATCTTCTGGCATTGCAATTATCTTGCTATATCGAGATAAAACATTTTCTTATAATTATATAGAAGTTAAATTACTAGTCATTCTCTAAGTCGTCATTGCAAAGTACGGTATGGTAAAACAACGAATCACTTTCAAAAGTTTAAAATCAACCGTTTCCCATAAATTTAATACCATGTGCTCCGAGCCAGTAAATACCTAGCTAGCAAGTTGAACACAATGTCTATACTGTTACATCAGTACTATCGAGGACACAGGTTAAATAGCAATTTAAAACCGTGCTGGCTGGGCTTTCTACTCCCTACTTAAAGTGCTGCACAATCAATCAGCATAAAACGGGCCTACGCTCATAGAAACGTTGGTTGGGAAGGTTAGTCCAGACAACGTTGGGATCTCAAAGTTAAAAAGGACCTAGCACTGTGGTAGACTATATACTTCCAATATTTACATAAGAAATTTAACCTAATGTCACATACAAGACACGAGGAATAAGATTACTGTAATGGGGTACAATAGAGTCAAGGCCATGCATTCAAAAGTGTAAGCTTTTAAAACAAACTTTGCACGTGAAATTCACATCACTATACATTTTTCTTTGGATTTTCCATCAGGTTTCGAAGATGAAGATGTGGATGAAGATGAATGCCTTCCAGTGTTTCTTGGCACCTTCAAATAATATTACCAGAAAATTCTTGAATTCCAACTTTCATATATAATAAGCCGAGCAAGCATCGTCACACAAACCAATCCATTTTTAAAAGGATCTAGTACTTGCTACCCGATAATAATGCATCCCCTCAACAACATTTAACATGATTCCATCCATTGGAACTCAATAAGAGACCACGGCAATTGATAACAGGGATGTGTACATATTCAAAACAGTGCAGACCATGACCATTAGACAAAATTGTATATTAGGAGCAGTAAAAACAATAAAACAATTATGTACCTGGGGACCTGTGACCAGTCTAGAGCTACCAGTAGTGGATGATTGCTGTGGATTATTATGACGAGGTGGCTGCTGCTCAAACTCCTGTTGTTGCAAAGCTATCGCTAATTGCAGATCAGAACTGTCACAATTAAAGATGCATTCCGTCTTTACCAAATAATTTTGAATAGTTAAATCAATAACTTAGAGTTGAAATAGGAATGATTTAGAAGTTTTAATGGCCAACAGCAAATTCAGAAAAATACTTGATATCTAAGCCTGCCTGTGTTGCACTATCTATGCTGGCAAGATAGTCCTGAAACAGGAAGTTGTCTTAATATCAATGAAAAATTGGATTGCAAGATTACATATTTCACTTTTTAGAAGAATATACATACGGCAGTGCTGGTCAGAGCATTGTTCTCATCCCATGTGCTGTTTTCATGGCTTTCAACCTTGAATTCCTTGAAATTACTGGTCATGAATAATGTATCACCATTGACCTGAAAGATAAATACATGAACTTAATTTCTGCAATTTAATATTACACAATGTTAAGATGCCTGTTTTTTCGTCACCCGAAATTGGATAACATGGACCAGGATGGGCATGGCCATTAGTATGATAAAAAAAAAATGAAAATATACACAAGACACAGTATAAAGATTCATCCACACAGAATTTACTACAAGTGCAAGAAAATCACTTGTATGACTTGTTTTAGGTGTCCAAGAAGCTCAAATCACCAAAAATTTCAGTTTTCAGGACATTTAATTGAGAATATCTACATATATATAATTCCCACAAGTGGAAAAAAAGAAAAATTTATATAATTAAGATACTGCAATGAAAAACATAAAGAAATACTATTTTACCTCATTTAGTTTTTCCCAGACCAGATCAGGCTGATTTATGTAACCTTGGTCCGTAGCTAGAAGATAGAGCTCACCCTCAAACTGTGAATAAAAGAAAAAAAAAATTATGATGAATACTCTGCAAGGTGCCAACAATTTTTCTTCAATGACAAAAGGTGCTACTAATGACAATTGATATCATTAATCCAAATGACCAAAGGAAAAAAATATTCAAGTCTTATACTGACCTTGAACATGGTGCTGAAATGATTGTTTCGGAAAAAAACACAAAGCTCACGCTCTTTAAGACCATCTTGTAAACAGAAAAGACTGCAAAAGCATTTATAATATATAAAATGTAAAAAGAAAATTTCTCACAACTAGTGAGGAGAAATATAAGGATCCGAGAAACAGATCAAGATATTTAGACCTACAAGACAAAAGGTTAAAATACCCGTAAAATGTCAACTGGCTGGCATTATTCCTCAAGAAACTTTTGATCAATTCACCTAAGACCATAAAAAAAGGACATATGTCTCCGATTAAAGAAAACAATATATAGTTACCAACAAAATAATATTCTGCTGAGAATCAATCCACTTATTTAATATATAGCACCACTGACCTTGTTCTGGGGTAATTTCATCCTTAGCTCTTGGATCAGGAGCCGCTAAGGGGCTTTTATCAGCCTGTTCTGCAAGTACCACCTCACCTTCATAAACAGGTTCACGATCCTCAAAATTTCCAGTTCTTGTATCCAAAACACATTCCTCTCCTTCATATATGGGCTCACTCCCATCAACAGTTGAAGGCAATGCTCCAGAAGCATCAGTTTGATGATATCTGACACAAGATGAACCTAAATTTGTATGGCTAGGGGATAAGTATGATAATCCTGTTGCATCAGACCCGTGACACTCATCCACAACTTCATGATTAACATTTGTAGGAGGGGATTGATCATGAATTTTTCCACCCCCACCAGAGACATCTGCACCACTGTCAAACAGAGAGACACATAATTTTTCGGAAGAAGGGATAGCTTCACTCCCATTCTGAACCAATGCATCAAGGCTGTTCTTCTCAATCATATCATTCTGGAGAATAGATTCTTCAGGTCCCATATAAGCTGATTGATGATGACCACTTATGCAATCAGTCTTTAAAGATGAATTAACTGCTTCCCCCAATGTAGATGTAGAAGATATCAGTCCATTGCTATCTTTGCCAGAAGCAATGCAATCATCAGACAAGGAAGGCTTTGGCTCATGAAAGTCATTGTTTCCAGCACCAGTGCTATTTCCTAATTTATCTCCCGAATCCACATTTATAACCTGCTCGCTATGCGCATTTTTCTCCATACTGATAGAAATCTCTCCTCCATTTACATGACCTACAGCAGGATCACTTACTTCAGCTTTAGAATCAGCCTCAGATAGTTTCAAGACTCTTAACAACTCTGCCTCTTCTTCAAGATCACCCTTCCTCAGTGTATGATCAGAATCAGAATGAGGAGAATCATCAAAAGACCTGGCTTTTGAGAGACTAGGAGAAGGAACGCCAAGAGCAGCAGTTGTTGCAGCCACAAAATCGACACAATCTTCTTCTGGATTAGTTTTTTGCTGGACTTCCATGTTTAGGGTTTCAAGAGAAACAAGCTCTCCCATTAGGGCATTGTAGGACTTCGATCCAATCGCATTTGCAGTGTCATAATCCTAGTTCACAAGCACATGAAGATTTGAATATCAAATACACACATTATAAAACAAGAAATAAAACACATTGTTAAGAAAAACATAAAGATAACATTTCGATAAGCATTCAGATAATTTATTCAAGAAAGTTCACTTGGTCATTTAAAATTTACAGTAAGCAAAGAACCACAACTTTTGATCAAAGCCTAGGGAAGCCTTTCCAGACAACATATATGGATGCTAGATCAATCTTGAGATGGGGCATAAGGAGGCAGTGTGCAGACTGATACATGAATTCTAAGCACAAAAAATGACAATTTTGATAAAAGTAGAGTTGGAAAAATAGGTCTACCTAACCAGGTTGGTTCAAACTTGCTCAATAAAATGTAGGGTTTAAGCTTTAAAGTTTAGGCTTGAATTAAATCTAAGCCTTTTTAGTACAATTCAATTAAGCTCACAAAAATTTGGGCTTTGCTGATTTTGGACATCATTTTTGCAAGTGCAAATTAGATCTAGGCTTTTTGGTCCAACCTGTAAGTTTGTGACCCACAATGATCTATAGCTTGAATGGGTTTAGTTGCTTATTTTGTCAGCTCTAGATAAAATCTAAAGATCCCCTAAGAGACTAGTGAGTGTTTGGGAATAGCTATTTTTCCCAAGTAATTATTATTTTTTGTTTTTTACCCAAAAGCTTTGAAGAGACTAGCAAAAGTATGTGATTATTTCTTCAAAATAAGCTGAACCAAACATGCACTAACTTTTCTTAGTTACTGATTTCAACATAGCAACATCAAAATGAATGCAATAGAGACGGATGTAGTGAAAGAAAGGGGATGGTGTCCTTTTGCAGATGATCTAGAGATTACCAAGCCAAAGCTCTGGAATTTATTGAAAACAAAGAAATGTCCTTAGACTAACCTTGATGACTGAAAAAATTATACTCACACTCATCCTTTTTATATGAAACTTTTGTAAAATTTGCCATAGACCTTTTTATAAGACAACCCCCCCCCCTCTCTCCAATTGTTGATTGCATTACTTTTATTTTATTATTTACAAAATGCCCTTAATCACTCAACAATTTTTTCTGGTCAATAAACAGTAAATGCAGCAAATTAATTTCTAGGACTTTCTTTCTCTCATGAGGACAGGAGAAGATAATTAGCCAAAACTGTCAGTGCCTCTCATTCACTTTGCCTCTTTGTGTAGAAAATGGAAAAATAAAAAAAGGCATTACTCATATGGCGATATGCTAATTAATTACGTGGAAAGGGATTAAGAGAATGTCCTGATAATTTCTCTTAATTATGAAAAAATTGTACAAATTGTTGACAAATTTAATATCACTACACTAACTAGATTAACTTTATTCCTTAACCATATAGTGAAGTGATTAGAAGGGTTCAAGGTCATATCTCATTTTATGCACAGCAAAACAATTTTATTGGTACAATACAATGTGGGTGAGTGCTAAGATCTGGCAAGGAAACATTCTTCTAGAACTTTCCAAATTCATATGGCATCTTAACAGGACAATGGTTATTATTTTACTTAAGTGTATATTCATTGAAGCTTATTCTAGAGAAATAATTGCATATCTTTACCATCTTTCTGAGAGAGCTTTTGAAAAATAAGCAATTATTTCCTTGAAAAAGCTATTTGCAAGCATGTACCTAATAATATCCCTAAAAATATTTGCCACAAAAATACCAGAGAAATCAGAAATATCTAATGATAGTTGAACACCCCTTCCCCAAACAACTTTGTCTAGCATCCAAAGTATTGCCAAAATAATCAATAAGAGGCCAATTGACAGTGAGCAAAAACTGCAAAGATATTAATTAAATGCATTTAGAACCACAAAATACAACAATATAGCACCAATTAACTTGGATTGAGGGTAAAAAAACACCTGGGGATCAACAATCCAGCCATGATACAAGGGGATGTCCAGCAGATCAAATATGGCACACTCTGGAGTGAATTCAAAATCATCTATTCTGCAATTATTAGGTAATTTTCATGAGAACTTCAACATTTTTTATGGATGCACATAACTGCCAAAGAAATGAGCAGAACTGACCTCCTAAATTGTATATTTACATCAATGCCAGTTGCAAGCCTAGGAAGCAAATCAATTGCATCGGCAATGTTCTGTTGTTGATTTTCAACGTAGCCTGCATCTTTGTTCTACAAGACAAGAAGAAAACCTGTCAAATCAACTTACATCAGAAAAGAGTGAATGTCATCAATGATAACAAATGCAACTCTTACATTCACGTTACTATTCGAATCAATTAATCGTTCAGCAACCAACGAAAGCAATTTCTCCTGTGAGACTTCAGCAATATCTGGACTCAAATTTAAGTTGTTTCTTAACAGAAGAACATTACCTGCAGCAATGCAATATACAAACAATAAGCAATATTATGATGCTATAAAACAAGGGGGAAAAAACAAATAAATATTGCAAGTAATGCCTCTAAAGTGCAAAAATCAAGCATCGCATTCAAGGAAATATATGGTTCAATTACATTTTTCAAATTATCATCTAAGAGAGTATCAGCTTGTGCAGATGCTACAGTCACACTTTCCAGATACCAAAGAAATGAAAAAAATAAAATAGAAACTGAAGAAACTATTGACCAGAAGGGAAAACATATAATAGGATTCTTAGAAAGTTGTCATGAAACTAGAAGACTTCCACCAATAAATTGATCTGGTGAGAAATACCTGACTAGGTATGAAAAGAAGAATAATGGTTGATCAAAGAAATCACAAGAGCATGACAAGATATTACATAATTATTGAAACATACATCAAGTCTATGCCTTTGAGTATTTTATTTAATCAATCATGTTGTATTAATGAAGATGTAAGCGAAGTATTAATGATATTATACCACAAGTTTTCAATTTCAAGTACTTGAGATCAATTATACAAAATGATGAAAAAATTGATGAAAATTTTACTCACAAAATACAAGTTAGGTGGTTATAAGAATTATTTGTAATAGTAGAGTACCCATCAAACTAAAAATGAAGTTTTATCGGACTGCAATACAAGTAATTATCTTATATGATAGCAAATGCCAGAGCTTACAAGTGAAAGTGATTAAATTGAGAATGTTAAGGTGGATGAGTGATCACATGAGAAAGAATATGATAAGAAATGATAGTTTACAAGAGAATATGGAATAGTACTTATAGTAGAAAAGAGGACTAAAAACAGTTTAAAATGCTTTGGTCATGTGCAAAAAAGACCTTTGGAAGCATCAATAGTGAAAGTAGATTGCATGACTTTTAGTCTAGTAAAAAAAGGTCAAAGACCTTAGACGAAGTTATTAAAAGATATCCATTAATTAGATTTCTGAAAGTTTGGTTTTTAACCGAGTTCAATGGAATCATATGATCAATATAGTTGACCTCAACTTTGTAGGATAAGGCTTGATTGCTGTTATTGTTGTTGTAATTTCAATCATTCCATATATGAGTTGCCACAATCTGCCCAAGATAATATTTGGTGGATGATTGGTGTAAATAATTTTAGCAGAACTATCATTTTAATCACTCTTGGGCAGATTAATCAGAAGATTTATGGGTTCAAATAATATCCTTTGAAACTGAATTATTTTTTTGAAGAAGAGATCGCATGATATTTGCTGCAAATCATTGGACAGAAAATAAGAGTAGCAAGTGAGAATGTAGCCATGAATGTCTGGTACACAAGATAACATAGGATTAATAGGAAAAAATGGGGAAAGAATAAACAAGTAATATTTGCTGAAAATACGTTGGCAGACTCAGTTAGCGGTAAGGTCGAGAATCACAATCAAGAAACACTGAACAATGGGGAACACTGGTACATTGGCAGAACAGTGAGAGGATTGACACAATAAGATCACAGATAAAAATTTGAGGAGCCAAGACCTAAGAGACAGAGATACACAAGTGGATTGGAGTAATGGCATCATGAATATCAATAAATCCGAAAAAGAAATCCATGTGGATCTGAAAAGCTTTACTTTGCAGCACTAAACACATATTTGGAGTTAGACAGACTCTGATTTTGAGTTTCCACATATTAAATTGTCTCTTTCAGCGATATGCTTTGTAGTAAGAATAATCTCGGATATTATCAAAAACTGACATCGATGAAAAATTACTTGCTCTGACCAAGCCACCCAAAGGGAAGAAAAATGCAAGCCAAATAACAGCATAGCCACTACCAATAACGAATAAGAACGTAGAGATTGGTCTGAAAACTAACACCCAGAAATAACGAAATACAAGAAATCCTCACACATGTAAATGAATTGGAAATTGGAAGATAATATGTTACGATGTTTATGCCTTCAACTTCAATCATCAATAGACGATAGAATTCAAGGTAACAAGTAATCAATAAACACACGCAAGTTGGTTACATAAAAGACAGTACTCGGTATCCCAGACGCAATCCAGATTGGTAGTGAAGCGAAAGAATGAAAAATTGTGGAGAGACAAATAGATAACGCGTTATCTTAGGAATTAAGCATGAATAAGGAGAAGAAATGAGGAAACCCTAATGCACTGACAGATAGCAAGGAGAGGGCAGGGTCCATTGTCGTTTTGAAGAACGATCGGAGTGGTGCGTCCAAGAAACTGAATCGTTTTGGTTTTGTGGAGACACTCTTTCACAGGGTGAGGTTCTTGATCTTGACCTTGATCTTGTTCTTGATCTTGATCTTGATCTTGATCTTGATTTTGACCTTGACCCTCGTCCTTCAGTTCCACCCTTGGGGAAGACGATGCCATTTGGATGGAGCGAGCACGTCGTGGATTTCTTTCAAACCCAGATTACGCTACAATTGGCCTTTTTAGACAATGAGGCCAATTAGGCGAAACAAAACTAATATATTTCAACGGAGAGTGGGACTAGTAAAGCTACTTCGTTCATTTCCACACCTTATGTCAAACCTATCACACTATTTCCCTGATCTTTTCCTTCTATTTTTTTACCCTTTTTTTTTCTTTCCCCAATTTTATTATTTCTGCAATGAAAATAATTAAATAAATAGATATAGACATCAGTAACGATAGATAAAAATTAACGTTCGGATTATCATTTGTTAACTTTATTGTAAGATAATAAATGAAGATAGAGTTGCCGTGTCACATTGTTTGTGATTGAGAAATATGAGTAAAGATGATCCTTGCATGAGTTTTAATAAAGATTAAATGTTAAAAAAATTATTAAGTGACTGGTCTTAGAGGAATTTTTTTATATATACGAGATTTATAAATTATATACGTCAATTTTTGAAAAATTATAAAAATATAAAATTCAAAATTTGTCAAAAGTAATTTTCAGTGCTAATACTGATTAAATAACTAAAAGTTATAAAATTTAATGATTTTTCAAAATATACTAAAAAAATGTATATTTTCGTGATTTTTAAAAAAATATATATTTTAATAATTTTTTTCATTTTTTTCCCATGTAAAAAAGCCAGTCTTAGAATTCATCTATTTTATACAAATACATATAGCATAAAATCTTTTCGTATCAGTTAATAAAAATGAATCCGCATAGTTTGTTTGTTTTAGTGTGATCACAAATTAAAATAATACAAAATATAAAAAATATATATAAACTATAATTGTCTTACCTTTTTCTTTTATACCATAATTATCCCACCTTTTAGATGTTGATTGGAATAGACTTAGCTAGAATATGTTTGGGAAGAAAGTTTTATAAAAAATACTATACTTTTTAATTTTAAATTAAAACAAATTATATAGTATTTACTATAGTAAATACATTATTTTAATATATTAAATTTATATTAATATATTAATTTATATATTTTATTTTAAATGTATTTATTTAAAATTTGTCTTTTTCTCTCCTCGAAAAACATCCTTCGCAAACAACCTCTTAGGTTCTGAGGTCGGCTTTCTAAAATCTAAACAATGTGAGCAAAGCAAAATCATAGGATAGTTATACTGCAAGACAAATGGGTTTTCTGGGTCTACCATTGGACTGTACATTTGGATGATAGAGCCCATCCAGGATACACCTACCAATGAATCAGCGTGGGCAATGATATTGAAATAGACTCAGTCTTGATCAATTTTGCTATTTTTGTGTTTATATCTCTGATTACGGAAGCTGGACCCAACTACTGTTATACAAGGACTTGGTGACTTCACCATTGGGCCCTGGCTCGTGAAAAATGGTACCTAAACTAAACAATAGGATGGGCTGGAATAGTTGATGGGATAGAGGAACCAAGGTTTGCTGTCCCACTCTGACCTAATTTTGTAGTGGGTGACAAATATGGCAAAACAAGTTGGACCCATTTGTTTTCTTCTTTTATTTTTTTAATATATTCTGAATTTCAACCAGATGATTCATCATTTTTGTTCAATTTTAATAATGCATTAACTCACCTTCAAAGGGTAACTTAATATTTTCAATCCTTTGTTTTATATATATTGAGCCATTTTGAGTTCTCCAATCAGTATCATGTGTTATATAGTATCATGTGTTAAAGAGAAAAAATAATTATTATAAAATGTGATATATTTATATAATATTCTTTATTCTTTAAATATTTTGTTTTTATGTTTTTTTATTGTGTACTGACTTTTAATGGAATGTTGATTAATAAATTATTTTAGGTTAAAGAGATGGAAACCAACCCAAATTTGAAGAATTGCCAAGATCATAGTTTAAATACATATAAATTTTTAATTCTAATGGATTTTTTTTAACAAGACCAAGGGATTCCCATAATTTAAATGCATTGAAATATATTTATGTTTTAAAAATATTACATGTGACAAAATCTTGTATTCAACATTCACGTTACTAATCGAATACATTAAGATAGTAACATAAATATAATAATAAATAATGTAATAAAATTAAATTCTCTACCTTGCAATAATTTAAAAAAATAGAAACAAACATTACAATAACTAAAAACAATAAAATATAAAATAGACATTAAGTTATTTAATATAAAAAACTCTATTGACGTGAATATAAGAAAACATAAGTCGTCTAGAAATAATTTTATTGTGGTCAAACAAAGATATAAAAGAGTAGGAGTGGTAAAATGGGCCTGGCCGAATGGGCCAGCCCATCTAACCCATCAAAATTAATAGGTCGGACTGAACGATGCAGATTCACTAGTCTGTTCTGTTTTATCCCATTAAAATATAGGTCAATGGTAAGCTAATTCGTTGGGCCCAAAATTTATTTTTAAAAAATAAAAAAATATTTTTATTATTTTGGTTAATTTTTGGTGGATTAGCTCATTAATTCAATAGCCCATTAATTTTTTCTTATTTTTTATTTTTGGCAGGCTAGCCCACTCTTATATGGGCAAGGTTAGAAAAACTAGTCCATTTTTCAAATGAGGAGTGCTCGAGTTAGCCCATTTTTAGGTGGACTCTTAGTGGGTTAGGGTGGGCCAGGACAGGCTGGCCTATTTTGACACCCTAATAAAAGAGTCACAGACAAGTGCATAAAACATGTTTACAACCACGTCATTCTATGTTAGAAAAAAAAAAACATGCTTACAACTAGTTAACCAAACTCAACAACAAAGATTACAAAATAAGAACTAAGAAAATAAAAATACTTGATTAAAAGGAAGTCCAATAAAAATGCAAAAAATAAATAAATGAAGAGAGTGAATCCCGAAAAACTTGAAGACGAAACTAGGCCTAAGCAGAAGCTGGGGTAGACAAGGCATATTGGAACAGAACAAAGAAGCAGATTTTTAAAGATTCCTTTAGCCTCAAATCCCACCTCCTTATGTAAAGTTTCCTTACCCACACTTGAATAAAAACAAAGGAAAAAGGAACAATATTCTAAATCAATTTCTAGATTCCTAATTTCTATGGCAACCGCAAAGAGAGATAACATTAATTATAGAAATCAGAGTTATCACAGATTCATAAATCCCTATTCCTAGATAATTTATAAATATGCAATTCTATCCAAGTCCAAGAATAGTTGCAATCTCCCAATCGAATGATTTTTTTTCTTAATCTATAAATACTTAGAATCAAAGAAGTGTGAAGTGCAAGATGGAAAATGTTAATTGGAGTTTTTAAAATCTGGATTGATTTCAAGTTATTAGTTCATTATAAAGGGTTAAGGATTAAGTTCATCATTCTTCTTCCTTAATAAAACTAATAGTACATTAAAGAAATATAAAGTAAAAAGAAACTGAAATTGAATACTGACATTAAATTCATTACTACAGAAATCAAGATTATAAAAAGAAAACAAGATGTAGAAATTTAGTTATTCTCTAAGGTAAGGAGAAGAAAGGTATATCACCCTAACCTCTCAACAAAGAAAAATAAAATAAAGAAAAAAAATAAAGAGAACGGACAAGAAGACATAAGAATGTAAACACCAAATCTACACCCTTTTTCACTTGAGGATTTATGTTTTCATAGGTGCTATCTAAATCGAGTCCTTGCAATTAGAATTGTGTGTACCCATAAAAACTTTGTTTTGCATACTTCCACTTTCCTTCCGCGAGATCCAAATGTACTAATTCTTCCAAAAACCTTTAAACTAATTAAATAACATTAGTAATTGAATTATCCAATGCAATTTCATGGAAGTAAATTTTTTCAATTAAATTTTTTAATTAATCTCATCGAATTAGATTGATTATTCATGAAAATAATTAAAAATTTCTAATTCATTTCATGAGTCAGAGTCTTATCAAGTGCCTAGTTCATCAATATTTATGGAATCACTCTGGATTTCTTTTTTTTTTTCCTATGATTTTCCTTTGTGTTGTTATGTGTAACTAATTGTTTTAGTTAAGGAAAAAGATATCTCAATCCTAACCTATATGTAATTTAAATTTTTACTTTTAATTCAAGTCTATTTATTTTAAACTGATTACTTATCTTTATTTTTAATGCTTCCGTGAATTAGTCATTCATAATGGATCATAAATTTATATATGTAATTGAAATATTAGAATAAGAATTAGAACTGAGATAAAGTAACATGATGGAGGCACTCTAGAAATAGAGGCCATTAATCATGAGGTCCTAAAAATTCTATATATTAATGTTTGTTCCAATTAGGAATTTTTAAGAAATTATGGTTTCTAATTAGGAGAAAAGGTTGTTGAGTCAAGGAATTGACCTTCAATTACATTAAAGAATTCAACCTTTAGTTACACTTTGAAGACTTAAATTAGAGTGAAGATTTATGTTAGTTAGGTAAAGGTTTAGTGAACTTATTTTCTAACGCTTTTGATATATTATTTTTCATCGTAAATTTTGTGTTTGATAATTGTATTCACACAAAAAAAAAATTATTATCTCATTTTAAATTTTACGATAGAATTTAATATAGGTTTCATACTTACTTTTAAAAAATAATCACACACATAAAAAACTCATTATCTCATTGTATGTGTTGACATATCATTGGTTGATGATGAATAATATGAAATGAGTGAGAATATGTGTGAATGGCATGTTGAGTGCGATTGTGGTTATGTTTGAAATGTTGAAAACTATAAATGGTTACAGCGATACACTAAGGGTGTAGAAGATGAGGGCAGTAGAAATACCTTGGGGAAAAGAGGGTGGTAGTGACACTAATAGTGAGCATGGATGTACCACAGGCCACACACTATTCTCCTGACTTGGCCTCTTGACCAAAACCTTTGTTAAGAGGCCCATGACCATATACGTTGTATCCGTGAGGCGGGAGTTAACCAGCAACCATCCATGGTGTGAAACTAAGTAAGTCTTTTAGGTTGAGGGCATCAGGAACTGTGATCACAGTGCCACAGTAAGCGTGACTAACTTACAGTGAGCACACCTATATGTGAATTGGAATGGAATGTTGAAAAGTAGTACTTTGTG